TATTATTATTATTATTATTATTATATAACTCTGCCACTCTTTTTCTGTCTTTCAGACTTTATATTGTTTACTGACTGCGTTTCCTCTTGCAACACTGATACACTGACACAAAAAATGCTTTTTGTCACGAATTTCATTTTACCTCGTTGGACAGGTTAAGTTTTGTCACTATTCACAGTTAAATATCAAATATTCAAATCCAGAAAGATTGAACTGCACTTATGTATGTTTGAAAAAATGCAGCTGTAGTGACTGAGGTGATTTGTATCACGTCCTTCCAGCAAATATTCTGTCGAGGTTCCGTTGTTTAAATGCGATTTGCAAAATCAAACTTTAGCTTCCCATAATATCGTCCATACTGTCCTTTACGGGCACTCTTAGAAATGACGAGGAATGTGATGATGTAATATGTGTGCGACTGAAGTCAGCCTGTAGTCCATTCTCTTGCTTCTCCGTCAGGATGGTAATGTAAAATACACTACTTTGCTTTTATAGTTATTTAATTGATCATATGAGATCATGTTTTCCCCATAAAGAAAGAGCATGCGGTCAACTGCGATTGTGAAGGTTGTGAAGAACACACCAAACGATGAGAACGAGAGCAGCAAAAACATGTCATGTCGCTCGCCCAGTCAGTCAGTTCAGCACAGCTTACAGCCTGGGTTCAAATGAATGTGTCAGACTGCAGTTTTTCAGCTTATTGTCAGAAAGTGATAACGGCAACCTTATTTTGCAGGGGACCCAGGTTAAAGACGTGGTCATTAAACCTGATGCGCCATACACTCTCCTCCTAGACAAGCATGCAGACTATATTGCAGCCTATGGCTCCAAGAAGGATGACTATGTAAGTCGATGGCTTACAAAAGATGCAAAAATGGGTTTCCTCCAAAAATGAATAAAATGAGAGGTTAATTCCCATGTATTTTGCACCATCTCCTGCAGGAGTACACGCTGTCCGAATACTTGAGAATGAGTGGCATCTACTGGGGTCTGACAGTAATGGACCTGATGGGTCAGCTGTCTCGAATGAACCGCCAGGAGATCATAGAGTTCACCAAGTCCTGCCAGCATGACTGTGGAGGCATCAGCGCCAGCATTGGCCATGACCCTCATCTCCTCTACACCCTCAGTGCTGTACAGGTCAGCAGGAATCTACAGAATCTAGAAGGCAATCATAATAATTAATAAATGGTCATAAAAAAATGACTACTCAGAAGTGGGAATTAATGAAAAAAAATGTTGTTACTCCCTTTAGACCCTTTCCTTGTATGACAGCATTAATGTCATTGATGTAGATAAAGTGGTCGACTATGTTAAAGGACTGCAGCAGGAGGATGGCTCATTCGCAGGAGACAAATGGGGTACATTTATTTGTTTTTTCAGTCTTTACTGGAATAAACAGTTTTAAGTATTATATGACTTCGTGAATGCTCCCTTTTGTTCCTTAACAGGAGAAATAGATACACGGTTTTCCTTTTGTGCGGTTGCGACATTGGCACTACTGGTCTGAATTCTTTTCTATTCAAATATTATATTTAATTGTCTTTTATAGTGTTTCCTGCAACATTTCAAGGTTTTAAATACATATAACTTGACACATTTCTGTGCAGGGCCAGTTGGATGTGATCAACATGGACAAGGCTGTTGAGTTTGTGCTGTCCTGTATGAACTTTGATGGTGGGTTTGGTTGTAAGCCTGGTTCAGAGTCCCATGCTGGTCAGGTAAAGTGTTTGAGGTATTTTATGCCCACCTTTAAACCGTTTTAGTGTATTCATACGTTGTAATCATATGTTTTTCTCACCCTGTCTCTAGATTTATTGCTGTACAGGTTTCTTGTCGATCACTGGGCAGCTTCATCAAGTAAATGCAGATCTGTTGGGTTGGTGGCTCTGTGAAAGACAGTTACCATCAGGAGGCTTGAATGGGAGACCAGAGAAGGTAAGATGTCCTTTAGATCAAAGATATTAACTAATAAAAAAGTGAAAACTAGTAATATTTTCAGACAATGCTGGATATTTAAATGAATCCCAAGTCTGATATTTGACTGTCATGAAGGGACCATCTGATCCAGTCATAAATGGTACAGTTTGTGTTGTAAAAGATTCAAACTTTTAAAATTATTAGCATAATGAAACTAAATAAAAATGTAAAATAGCAAATAAAAATATAGACTAAATTAAAACTGTTTGCTAACCATATAAAACATATTAAAATTGACCATAAATAATAAACAAAATTGAAAAATATCATGTAAATATAAAAATATAATGTTTTCAAAACTTAATACTAGATTATTATAATTTTTAATGTAATTCATTTTCTCTCATTATTTATGAGAGACCAAACACAACTGTGGATTTAATTTAATTTCTCTGATTTCAGCTGCCTGATGTCTGCTATTCCTGGTGGGTTCTTGCCTCTTTGAAGATCATTGGCAGAATCCACTGGATTGACAAAGCAAAACTGCGCAATTTTATTCTTGCTTGCCAGGATGAAGAGACTGGAGGCTTCGCTGATAGGCCTGGAGACATGGTAAGCTCTCTTTGGAATTTGTCACATAAAACTTTGCATGTGCATAAATATTTTGCATTTCATTTCTCTAGGACTTGCCATTCTTTATACAGAGCTTATCAGTCTCTGCAGTGCATCCTTGCCAGTGTTCTATATTTCCATCCAGGTGGATCCTTTCCACACTCTGTTTGGTGTGGCGGGTCTGTCTTTGCTGGGAGATGAGCAGATCAAACCAGTGAACCCTGTGTTTTGCATGCCTGAAGATGTGCTTCAGAGGATTGGCCTCCAACCAGACTTGCTGAGCTGAGTTTCAATTTTCAGCATGGCCATTTTCCTCTTCTCCTACCCCTGCACAGCCAGCCATTTCGAAACGGGCAAACCGTGGAAAGCTGTCATCTTCAACTAACGATTGGCACACCGTTTAGAGGGACCAAGGACTTTAGAAAGACCCTTAACATTGTGTGCTTTTTTTGGGGGGGAAATTTTTTTCATCATCATGTAGGCACAGTATTACAATGCTTACTTTTGTTAGTGGGCTTTCTCCATTTAAAGATACGGTTCAAAGAGGGATATCTGCTATTTACAGCTTTCACTGTGTATTAAAACGTAACTTTATTTTTATGATTAATTCAGCAGGTCACTTTTTGGTGTCAACCAAGAGTGTTTATTCAATGAGGGGGAGAGGTCACTCACTCATCTCTGATGGCTTTTCCAAAGTGAGTATGCGAGGTTAATAAATTTAAATGTTACATCATACTTTAAGCATCATAAATATGGATTTCATGCATGAGATTAATTTTTATGTCCAAATTCTCTTAATGTCGTTTGTTCACATCAGTTGTCAAGATTTTGTTGGTCATCACATCTCTAAAGCATTCATAACTATTGTGCAACCAATTTAAAAGTCATGTTTGCTTTGCAATTGCTGTTATTTTTAATGTTTAGGAGAATTTTGCTGTTGTGGTATGAATAAATTCTCTCTCTCTGGCATTGATGCCAGTATGTGAAGATGCCTGTTGTGTGGGATGGAATAAATGTGACTTTAATATAAAAAAACTCACTTGCTTCACTGGTGTAATTTGGATTATTCATTGTCAGGTGGTAAACTGTTGGTGTTCTCCACAAGGAATCAAGTGATCATCACCCTAAGAGCGTCTGACACTGATTATGATGAAACTTTTTGGCCTGCTGTTACGTGATGTTCCTCTGTAGTGTTTGTACATTTCTTTGCTCAGTGTAGGTTAATAAAACCACTAAATTGAATTGATTACCAGTTTTAGTCAATCAAGCTTTGAATTTCACTAATTATATTATGAGGTTGTGTTTACTAAAATTCACTTCAAAATAAAATTATATTCATATTTGCTAGGTAAAAGCAAAAACAAAGCTCCAAAACTTTCAAGTATATGAGCAAGTAGTTGGAAAAGTGAAGAGGCAATCAAATCAGAGCGTGAATTCATCAAGAGAGCAGCAATCTACAGACCCCTGACAGATTTGCAGAAACAAACACAAGAGTTGTTAGGTTACGATGAAACCCCATTGGCTCTCATTACAACCTGTTCAGAGTGTGGGAGATGTGCCACATGTCACCGCCGTCTCCTGGCACTTGTGTTTTTCTTAGATCACCTCACACTTAGATCATGCACAGACACACACAACCATCTAATGCCTCTGTTAGTGTAATAAAGACATGATCAGTTTAATGACTAAATATGCTGACACATTTGTTTTGGACAAAACCAGGCAATTTTGTAATTAATTTTTATTCAGAAAAAAACAAAACTATTTTTGCAAGCAACAAAAATTACAAATTTGTACCAATACTCTACCAGTCAAACATTTGCTGGGCATGTGCTGGCCGCTTTACCTTCACTAGCCAGTCCAACTCATTCAAAATGCATGTTTAACATTTTTATTCTGTAAAGAAATTTGTGAATAGGCACAATATACAGTTGTCTGTAAAAAAAATTACGCATTTAAGCATAAGTCATTAGATCAAAGATTTAGAACAGTGGTTCTCAACCAAGGGCTTCTGCAAACTTGTTTACATTTATTTACAAACCCGATTCCAAAAAAGTTGGGACACTGTACAA